TTTGCCTCGAGGCAGACATCGATTCCCATCTCTTTGGTCTTTTGCAGAACCAGAAGGACCCAGCTGTGGTGGACAGGATGATGAAGAAACTGGATTTGAATAGTGACGGGAAGCTAGACTTCGCGGAGTTCCTGAACCTCATCGGGGGCATTGCGGTGGCCTGCCACGATACCCTGGTTGTTAACGCCCCGTGACCCTAGCCCTGGCTGCTGTGTCTCCCCCACCACTGTGAACATTCCTCGAACAAGACATACAAAGCTGGAAGCAGTGCCCTTAACAGGGTGACATCCCCATTCCTCATTTTCATGTGTAAAATAAAAGGTTTAAAATCCTAACATAAGGCATGGTTTTATTTCAGCATCATAAGTGAGGAGAAAGTGCTAGAAAAGTAGTCCAGCCACAGGGGGAAGCAGAATCTCTAAGTCCTACCCTCCGCTTCTCCACTGATGCAAGAACACGCGTGTTTTCATCCTTGTTGCTACCCGAAACTATGATCTGCCTGGCTTTGGAGATCCTCCAGCCTGTTAAGTACCACGGGGAAAGGTACAGTAATACTAAAGGGTACAACTACAAAAGGTAAAGGCAAAGACAGGAACATTACCAGTAAGGATAATTTGAGTAGTGGCAACAGCAATAGCACGCTAATAATTAGCAGAAACAGCCCCTGCTGGCATGATACATTATTTCAGGACTACAGCCTCCATTTTCCAAAAACTTCAAAACCCTCAAAGTCTGGTAGTTTAAGAGTGCAAAAGTGGGGCTTGTGGAGGTGAAAAGAGGAAATGAAATCTAATCTCTCTTCCATCTCAGTAAGACCAACTAAGCTACAAAACAGGAAGACAGTCAATTTACTTTATTAATGAGAGAAGCTGATTATTTTGTGAAACGTTGCTAGGACAACAAAACAAAAACTCATCACTAGCACTTGGATAGTGAGCTGCTCTCTTGCCACTTCCGAGGGGAGCAGCGCAGCCCCCGAGCAGGGCAGGCTCTCCGCTGGCCCCGGTTCCAGACAGTGACACCTCCCTGCGAGAGCCAGGCTCGGCTCTTCCTGCTGTCCAGGCTGCAGCAGGGTCTTCGAGCTCTTCTTTCAGCAGCCCAACATTAAAGGATATAAGGGGCAGTTTCTACGGAGCACACTGTGTGGTAACCAGGGCTCAGCAAGAGCCGCCCTTTACCCTCTGGAAAAGATTTGCCTTGAGGCAACGGTACGTAGAAACTTCACATCAGCTGGATCTGGGGACAGGAGCGCAAGTCGCTACTACTCGGAAGCAGCAGAGAGTCTCACTACAGCATTCCTGGGGGGGAAGAGCAGGTAAGACACGGCACAGGCACGGCTACGGTAGGGAGACTAGACTAGAAGCTGGAATGGTGGGAGGTGAAAGTTTCCACACTGTGCTGTGAAATGGGACCATTTCCCTCCCATCTCACACCTCCCCAGGACAGTTCCTAGCGGAACTGGAGCGGGCTGATCCGCAGCCCGATGACATCTTTGCCGATCTCCGTCACCTGAGGAGTAAAAGGGAGATGATTAATGCTTAAAAGCAACTCAACAGCCCAACCCCACATGCAGCATTCAGAACCTAGACGGTTCTCGAGAACGCACGCTGCCGATGACTGCAATGTCAGTCCCTGAAGGCAGCATTTAAACTACACAGTATTTCACAATTCCCAAACTGTTCCACCTCACATGCCAAGTCCTCTGACATTCAACCTGACCCACAACCCATGCCAAGTCAGTTTAAGGGGAGCATGGGGGAAGCTGCTGAAGGGGATTCTCAAGAGAAACCTCAGGGGCTAGGAGCAGGTGGCAACAGACGTTGAGACTCCCTTACTGTAGTGACGCGGCAGATCTGCCCATGGAACTCGGGGCAGTAGCAGGCTCCACTGAGCGGACACTTCTCCACAGGTTTGCCACGATAGATGGGTCGGTAAGAGGCGGCACAGATGTCAAAGGGGTTGTGCATGTCATAGTTGAGCTGGTAGGTGTCAGTGGGATTCTTCTCACACGCTGACAAGATCTTGCGAGTCTGCAAAAAGCAACCACATCGACCAGAGGGGCAGCTAGAAACCATTCCAAACAGGGTCTGCCACAGCAGACGTTTCTGCCCGTGCACCTCACAGACGTACCTGCTGGGCCACCTCAGGCTTTGGACCCAGCTCCAGGAGGCGACGGGCAAAAGTAGCAGCTGTCTTGAAGTTTTTGAGTTTAAAAAAGAGGTTGAGAGCAGTACGCAGCACCAAGATCATGTGGACGGGCTGCAGGTTGGAGTGGGTGAAATAGGCCGCCATCTGCATTAGGGAGAATGAGGGAAAGCAGGCATACAATCACTACCAAACACGTGAATAACCGGATGCCCTGAAAATGCTGCAAGAAACCCCTCCCAGGTAATCACTGCCACATCTGCTTTAAAGGAGGAAATGGCAGAATTCAGGGTTCCCAATGCCTTTTAAACCCAAAGGCTGCTCCCCCCTTATCTCCCTCATAGTGAAGAAATTCAGTTTCTGTACCTCGCAGATTCGCTTCTGCTGCTCCAGGGTCTCCTTGGGCAGCTTCTTCCGCTCAATTTCCATCGAGAGTCCTACAATATACTCCCGGCAAATGGCTATCAGCTGCTGGGCCTTTCAGAGAGGGAGACAGAGTCAGGCATTCAGCCTCCTGCCCCACAGGCATGCAGACAACGCGCAGAAGAGTCTGCCTCTCACCTCAGCAATCTCCTGCTTGTTGTCCACCACCAGCAAGGGCACACTGAGCAAGATGGAGCGGAACTTCTCCACGGCCTCTTCAAACTTGCCGGCTGTAGTGAGCTGGTAGCACAGCTGCAGGCGCTGGATCAGGTCGTTGAGTTTCAGTCCAACGGCAGGGAGGGCGTTCTTCAAGCCAGCTTCTTTCCTGGGGGCACCAAAAAGGGGTCAGGGGTACAAATGAGACCACTGCAGAGGCCAGCAGAAACACACACACTATCAGCTCAACTCCAACTTGTCAGAAATGTTTTGACCTAGGGCCATGCTGGTTGTCTTTGCCATTAGCTTAGCACAAAAGACATCTGTGCTTCCATAATTCTGCCACCCACAATGCCCAGCTCCCTCTGCAGTAGCGCAGGCTCATTTTTCTACATGAGTCTACATGAGTCTGGCTCATTTTTCTACAGTGGCTTCCAGACACCACTGCAAAAACACACCTGTGGTTCACTAGATGCCTCAGACCAGGCGCAGGCTGGGAAGTCTGGCTCATTTTTCTACAGTGGCTTCCAGACACCACTGCAAAAACACACCTGTGGTTCACTAGATGCCTCAGACCAGCTTTGTCAGAGGCAGAGCATTAGTGCTAGAAAACACAGGATACCAACTGCCTCATCCTGGTTTCAGTCCCTAAAAAAAAAAATGCAAGCAGCTCTTTAACATCTTTACACCTAACAGCAGGCAGCAGAAAAATCCTACTAAAGACAGAGTGTTCCCTGTTTATATCCAGCAAACAGGAAGGCTCCTGCCTTCGCAACAGAGGGAGGAGACTACACAGGATCCCAACTGCCTCATCCTGGTTTCAGTCCCTAAAAAAAAAATGCAAGCAGCTCTTTAACATCTTTACACCTAACAGCAGGCAGCAGAAAAATCCTACTAAAGACAGAGTGTTCCCTGTTTATATCCAGCAAATAGGAAGGCTCCTGCCTTCGCAACAGAGGGAGGAGACTTTGTAGCTACAACTGTCTAGGAGTCTGGGAGGCATATGGCACAAGGAAAAGAGCACAGAAAAGGAGCTAACCCAGTTGCTTACCAGTTGCGATGTGGGTATCCATACATGGCAGGGAGACATGGCAGGGCTTGGTACGTCGTACGGCCACGGGCATAGGTCTGCAGGAACAGCTGCTTGTAGGGTCCGAAGTTTGTTACTCCTACCTGGTCATGGAGGAGCTGAAAGAGACACATCGATCTGCTGAGTAAAAGTCATCCAGGGCTGTACAAAGGCCGCACAGACATCACTCAGGCTCACAGCACCTCTTATTTTATACACAGAGAAAACAATGCACAAAATTATTCACAAAATGACACAAAACAAAGCTTCAGACTGGATCAGACAAAAATACATGGGGACAAGGGCACAGTCTTTTTTCCCTAGAAACTCCAGGGGAAACTTACCCTCATTGCTGTCTCAAAGGAGCCTGCCAGGATGTGGTCAACAGGAAGCTGAGAATTGTTACACCACACCTACAAGGACAAAAGGGAAACATATACAAGAGGAACTGTGTATATGCACGCATTTGTCTTCCCTACCCTCATCACCCCTACCTCCCCCTTAATAAAGTTCCTATGCTGTGCTCACAGGTGAGTTTTAACAAGGACTGAACCCGAAAAGAGAAGCACCAAAGTACAAAAGTTTCTGAGAAAGACAATCCAAGACTTGTGCCACTACCTGAGCTGGGCTGGTGCCCTTGGTGGGTGGCACAAAGAATCCATCCTCGGCTGCTCCTGCCGGACCAGCAGGAACATCCTGGGGGAACACACAGAGCAGTGATTAGTGTGGAAGTTTCCAGTACGCAGATGAAATCAGAGCTGGCCATAGCTGTGGTGACCGAGTCTCTGAAGAAGCCCAGAACACATCTCTCCCACCACCGCAACCTGTCATTGCCTTCCCAAGTAACTACAACTGGGCTACTTAAGAAGCCTCCCAGAAGCCTCCTACCAGTTCAGGGGGAAGATCCAAATCTTCTTCGACTTCCCATCCACCTCCTTCTTCCTGTCCTTTACCTAGACCTTCCTCTCCAAAGCCCTCTCCAGCATCCACAAAGCCATCTGCATGGAGGGGGTAGGGGGGAAACAGTCAGAGCTCTTACACAGGCACACACACTTCTCCAAGAAAAACTCTTGGATTCACCCACCTTCATCCAGCTGCAGTTCTGCATCTTCTCCCCAGCCTTCGGTGCCAACAGTGTCGATATCAATATCAGCAGCCAAGGCACCCCCTTTGCCTACAAAAAGGGTAGGATCCTTCATTTACTCATCTCTGAGTGGGTCAGGTGTTAAGCAAAGAATTATGTTAGGCCAGCGCCCTCCCCTCCAATTGCCAAGTCCCATCTTGTGCTAAAAGGCCAAAGATTTGAGAGATTTGCCAAAGATGGCGTAAATGCCAAGCTGGATTCCAACCTCTGCTAGTAGCACACAACAAATCTGAGGTTAACAGCAACAGTTCAGGAGC